AGAGAGAGAGAGAGATAATAAGAGAGAGTAGGGAGAGAGGAAGAGAGTAGGGAGAGAGCGAGAGAGGGCGAGAATGATAAAGAGAGGCGGCGCGATAGGAGAAAAACAGAATAAAACAATAAGAAAGAAATGTCGCCTGACTATCCTCACATCAGCATATTCACGCGCACACGTACATAAACGTATACGTTCAAATTCGTACAGATTCTCATTGGGAATACAACAACAACATCCGCGTCGCCAACGTCGTCCACAGAAGGCAAGCGTGGTGCTTGCAGCAGGCTCGTGGCATCAGGGTACATTGTCATCACTGCAGCGATTTCCATACAGCTGCGCAGCCAGCTTCTAGCCTGGATGGAGCTCGCCGTTTGAGAAAGCGCTTACAATAGCAGTTACTCAACGTCAAAAGTGGACATTTTGAATTTAGAACTCCATGCGTGGTTTTGAAGAAAATTGAAACGCGGTACGAAAAATCATCGTTTGTCCTGCGGGCTTTTGACCTGCATTTTTTACTTCTTTCAGTAGTGAAATGATTGCGCCTTAATGTGGGCGTAAGAATACGAGATTATCAGAAGAGCTGAAATTACGACAATAGCTGAGATTATTACAATAATTGGATGATAGCTAGGTTCGACGTATTACAGATTTTATCGCATCGATGTTCTATTTAAAGCATAGAATGCCTTAGTACAGAGAAAGATTATTGCTAAGATGTGCAAAAATGCATTTAGACTCGCCGCAGGTGCTCGGAGGCGCTATGATTGTGAGACTGGCTGTACGTACGTGTGCATGCATTTAACGTAGCACCTGCTACTTCGTCGAAAGACTAACAAGTGTTGCTGTTCACTCTACAGCGACAAGTTTAGAGAGAAGTCTACCATGAACATCTACGCTCGTTAAGATAATCTTATTCGCGCGCCGACGTGCCTAAAGAACGCGTCTGGTAGAACTCGTTTGTTCTAAAGAAATAGTTGGCTGTCGGAAAGTAATTGTTGAGCGCAGGAAAACGAGCGCGTAATCAATTCGAATTGCGGTCAATGAGCGAAAGTAATTGCTGTCGTGATATGCTGTGCCGCCCGTGTCTTTCAAATTGACGTCTGAACGCATATATAAGCTTATAATTACGGGCCCCAAATTTAAACGTAATGAATTAAATCGGCGAAAAGTAATTAGATGATTTGGATATTGATGTTTTAAGAATTCATGCATGACGCATGATATTTATTAGATAAAAAAAAGTTATACATGTTAACAACTGTGTAATTATAAGTATCTATGCTATCACAGACGATTTTTATATAAGCTTTGCGTAAGAGTACTACACTTAATATGAGAATTACATATTAATAGACGTTTATTTTGAGTTTTGATTATCCACAGAAAATGCATGGCATGTTTATCAGACTTACGACCAGTCAGCACTAGAATTTGGGTAATCAAGGTTCATCAGAGTGAAAAACGTCACTATTATTTATAAAGTTTATATAAGATACAAGGTAGTAATAAAGCCTGAGCTAGTTCAATCGTTTCCTTACCACTACCACTTCACCTTAATCTTATACCGTTGGCCTATCATTTCCTCACATAACAATTACCACTTCGGAGGACAGTCCCCTTAACTATATGCGTTCACCCACATCATAACTAACCAAAATTGTCATGATATTTATAATACTAAATATAAATACACGAAAAGTTATATCTAATTATATTTTATGGTTATGGGGGATTGGGGAATGGTTATTGGGTAATTGGAATGTGAAAGCTACCCATCAAGTTCTGTAGCCGCAGGCATCGACCGTGGCCTCTTTTTCTAGATGTGCGTTTAGCCTTGACAACCGCGGGTCTTGCAAAGCATGAGGTGTTTCAAGAACATGGGCGTTTACGATAGACAACTGTGTGTGACCGCTACGTTTACTAATAATTACTGTAAATTAGTCTAGTATAAAAGATATAATATACTAATAACCCGTAGTGACTTTGTTGTGTAAGACGATTAATAATTGCTACGCATAATTAAATTATTGTATTGACGCAGTTTTGTGGTGCTGACTGTTCAATTTATGATGTTCTCCATAATATCCTCATGATATCGATTTTATACGCATATCCAATTGATATTTATATATCCTGATGCACGTATATTCTCTCTACTACCTATACTCAACCCATCGTTAGTAACGACCCTAATTATAATAGTAGTGGCTTTTTCTAAATTAAATTGCATAATGAGAGTATACGGAAGCCTGAGGCTCAGTGCTCGTGTCAGTATTGCGGGCCGTAATTGTACGTATAACGCGGATAATAGCCGATAGGTGTCACTGGCTGTCCGGAAGTGTGTTTCGTCGGTGTAGCAGGACCGTGCTGCGCCGGTGAGTGGCTCCTCGGCGTCACCAATACGATCTTGTCCTCCTTCTTGTGGACCCAGACGGCGAAGAAGCACTGCACCATAAGAATCATCGCCACGAGCAGTTCGAGCGCGGCGAGTATGGCGAGCATAATGTAGAAAGCTTTCGCGAACTTTACGCTCGAGCAGCTCGCGTCCGGCGCGCTCTCCCGACAGACGGCGCGCAGGTCGATGCGGCTGGCGTTGATCGATGACATCACCAGCAGGTAGATGCTGCTGAGGATGCACGGAACGCAGGCGAGCAGCAGCAGCACGTAGCGGGCGTTGCCGATGACTCTCACGTAGGCACGAGGCACGAGGAACAGGCCAACGAAACCGACGATGAACCACAGAAGCCCGCACCAGATCCCCGACGCGCGGCTGTGGAAGATGCCGATGCTGCCCCGCCACGTACTGAACTGCAGCGCCTCGAATAGGATGGCGAGCGCGCCGAGACCGATCTGCATCGCGCAGAGAATGTTGAAGCCAATGAGCTTCGGCACGAGGCGAGGCGGAGTCGTTTCCATCGTCTGCGCGCTGCCCGAACTCGGCAGCGTATCCGAAGCCTTCGTCATATTATCGTTCGGAAATTTGTTCGGATGCGTGTTTTTTTTGTACTTCGGCTTTCTTTCGATTTACGGTGGAATTGCTATATATGAAAAGGGAAGTAAGAACTTCCTTTAATGCGCGGGAAAGTGATTGCTTCTCTTATGAAAAGGGAAGTAAGACCTTGCTTGAATGCACGGGAAAATGAATCGGGAGGTGGGGTCTGAGGAAGTATATAGAAGCAAAATTGAAAATACGGTGAGCATAAAACGCGCATTACGACCGAGTACTAAGAGCGGTAACTATACACGCACTACGGAAGCTGCTGGAAAGTGCGTTTGCAGTAATTAACACATCAATAGCATCACGTGTATATGCCACAGTCTACGTAGCTAACGAATCCATTGATACAGTAGCTGTACTGAACAGCTGCCCCGAAAGCAAAACACGATTACCAACTTTCAACTCTCGGCACCGAAGCAAAATCGCTAGACACCGATAGATTTCTCTTCAACCCTAAATTTTTGCACAGCATTTGTCACTCGTTCCTATAAATAAATGTCGTCTAACACGCTAACCGTCATACGATACACACGTACGCACCTTTATCTGAATGGCGAGATGGCGTTGGCTCAAGCACCATCAGAACGTGCGCACCTGTTGGAGTTGCAACTGCAATGTGCTTTTCCTGTTGTTGGTAAACTTAATGCGATCAGCTTTTTCCATCCTCGAGCATTGTACGTATACGCTCGATACGGCCCAGAGAACACGGAAAATGCCAGAGTATAGAGGCGCGCCATTTTTCAAGGCCGATCACGAGCTGTGTTATGCTGGCTTTTAGAAAACGAAGCGACGTTCATCGTGTAATACGTGCGCGCGTGTGTGTGCGAATATATATATATATATATAGAGAGAGAGAGAGAGAGAGAGAGAGAGAGAGAGAGAGAGGAGGGAAATGAGAGAGAGGAGAGATTTTTGTGTATGAAACGGGATCCGACTACTCTGTAGAAATTCGCATCATAGAGCTGGCAAAAGTTTCGAGCGGAGCATAGAGCATGAATCTGTAGTTATTTAACATGAATAAAGTGTATGATAATTGTGTAGGCGCAGTAACAGTGTGAGTATTTTTAATTAATTTCTGTTCGATGCTTATTCAGGCCTGCCGCCTATGGACGCCCTCTACTGTTGTGCAACACCTCTATGTGAAGGGGTCTGTGTTGTAACATAGCAGCGCCCTCTGTCTGTGTGCATGTGAAATTATAAGCTTTCGCACCTTTGATTTACCTTTGATTTCGTAATGTTATTTTCGTACCGTATGAACCGTATGAAACGTACCGCATGAACGCTTTTCGTACCGTAAAAAAACCTTTGATTTCGTACATTTGATTTCGTTCCGTAAGCTTTCGTACCTTTCGTAACTGGCATTTATTATTTAAACCTATTATAGATGTTTAAACCTAGTAGATGTTTAAACCTAGATTCTAGATGTTAAGCCTAATCTATTCTAGATTTAAACCAGATGTTTGCTGGACGAAAACTCTCAGCAGCCAGCTTCCGACATCCAGGAATCCTGTGAGGGGTCTGAGGCAATCGCACTGTTAGACAAACTACAGAGTTTCTGTCTTGGTCTGTGTTTCTGTCTCAGTACCGCAGCGATGGCTCAATGGTAGAGTGCTCGCCTCGCATGTTGTAGGTCGGGGGGTTCAACTTCCGGCCGGGTCATACCAAAGACTTGAAAAATGGTACACAAGGCTTCTCTGCTTAGAATTCAGCAAATAGAGATAGAGTGTGGCAAGTTAACTCGCAGTGCTACCAGTGGACTAACTCCCTACTGTAGCATTTACTGTGAAAGCAGCTACGGTGTCTCAGGGTTACTGAAACGGAGATAGGCACCGCCAGGCGCGGGAAGGATTTAACTAACTTAACTAACTGTGTTTTAAAGCACTCGCACGGGGACGGACATCCGAATCTAATAAACCTAGATGCGAAGCCGGTATACGGTCGTTACATCCTTTCCAAACAACACACTGCATGGTGCTGACACTTAATCGGTGCCAGAATACTAGCAGAGATTGATCACACACACACACACACACACGCACGCGCGCACGCACGTACACACACCCGCACGCACGCACGCACGCACGCACACACACACACACACACACACACACACACACACACACACACACACACACAC